GGATAGGGATTGTTTTACCATTTTCTTGCTTATTTTGACTTGCAATCCTAATCTGCATTTTACTGAGGTTTTTTAATAGGTTGGCCTTTTTTCTTTTTGTGTAAAGACAGATGCACAAAAATGAGTTAAGCAGTTCTGCTTTCACCCTGCTCTTCCTCATCTTCTTGCCATTTTCTCCCACTAATGGGCCAATCATTTCCTTTCCCTCCCTTTTTTTTTATACATATGTTTTCCCTGTTTCCTATACACATGTAGACACTCTGGATTGATGTGCCCTGTCATCTGCTCCAAAGAAGCCCTTCTCCTTCTCCTTTGAGAAGAGAAGCAAGCAGAGGAAAGTCCTTTTCAGTGAAAGACATATTCTACTAACTTTTTAAAACATGAAAATAACTGAGAGCGAAGTACAGCCGCTTACCTAATAACAGAGCATTTGAATGGAGACATTTCTAGATAATAATTTGCATTTGTAACTTTCCATTTCCAGATAAACTGTTGTCCATCTTGAACAGAAAATTAGGAAACACAGTGCAGAACTATGCCAAAAGCATAGCCCCTGGTGGTCTTCAAGAAGAAGATTTACATGTTTCTCCCGAACTCTTATATTTACTAAACCATTTGTTTTTCAATTTATAATGGGGGCCAAACCAATTTCATCAAAATCTAAAATAATTGCACTCTACCCCAGTAATTCCCATCTGTGTGAAGAATGTTTTAAACTGAAATGGAAAACCAAACATTTTTAAGAAAGATTTTCTGTTATTAACATTTCAGAACTTTCAGAAACAGCACATAATTGCTCAGATTATCGAACCCTAAAAGAATAATTTAAAAATGCATTAGTGGTAGTGTGAATCAGTTTTTAGTGCGGAGGAATGTTAAGCTTAATGCATTTGTAACCAAGATTTTAAGATCTTGTGATCCTGAAGTATTTGCATTTACTAGGAACTAACTTTGTTTTTTTGTTTTTTTAGTTTTATACTGGAGTGATCATTTAGTGAATATATTAAAATGTTTAATAAACATGAGCAATGTACAAGTTATAGTTTCAAAATCAACAATAACATAAATACATTTCCATTATTTCTTGACTTGGCTGAACCACAAAGTTAATTTCTATTTGTATCTTGTTCATTTTATATATTAACTTCTCACCTGGATATGTTGGCTAGAATACTGAGAATAAAAAAACACAACTTAAATTTATATACTGCTTCACAGCTTTACAGCTGTCTCTAAGCAGTTTACAGAGTCAGCATATTGCCCCCAACAATCTGGCTCTTCATTTTACCGATCTTGGATGGATGGAAGGCTCAGTCAACCTTGAGCTGGTGAGGATCAAACTGGTGAACTGCTGATGGCCGGCAGTCAGCAGAAGTAGCTGCATTCTAACCACTGTGCCACTGTGACTCTTAGATATAGACGTATACATGGATGGGCTGTTGGGGGTTTGAATGAGTTCGGGTGATCCTCTAGCTAGGATTCTGCCCAGTTCAGCGAACCCCCAAATCCCAGAGGCTTGAGGAAAACCTCCAGAGCCCGGGGAGAGCAAAAAACACACACACCACCCTGATACAGGAAGCCAACTAGGCCACTCCCACCATTGCCATACCCACCCAGCAACGGGCAGTGAACCCGTTGCTGCAATTTTTCAAGCCGACCCCTAAATGTATAGATAGATGTAGATGTATAGAGAGATGTAGATATAGATATAGATCAATGATCGTGAACCTTTTAGGCACCAAGTGCCTTATGTGCATGCGCGAGCCCAAACAGCAAGGCGTGGGTGCAAGGGCGTGCGCCCCCCAAGCATATACAGCAAAACCTCAAAGATCAGCTGGCCAGCAGGAGGCGCATGTGCATGCATGGCATAGACCTGAAACAAGCTTGGGCTCTGTGGGCCACCTCTCTCATGAGATTCGCCACCACTATACAAACAAACAGTAAATTCTAGTTCAGTAAAAAGATTGTTCACTTGATTTTTTGGGGGTGGGGGTGGAGGATTTTTGGATATTTGTAACCTATTAGCTGCATTGGTTGTAGCTCTGGTATGCTCCACATTTTGTTTTTACATTTGTTCAGAGTTACAGTCGAAGTAAAGGGAACGTTACTTTGGACATGGAAGCCATCTCCAGATGGAAAGTGAGGGATGGAAGATTGACTTGATAACTGGTGTCTGCAAGAATTTGTCACTAAATATCAAATTAAGCCAACCTGCCTGCTAGAATGCTGTGATAGTAAGGTTTCTTTTAAAGCGGAGGTACCCTGCCAAGCAAATTACATTAGCTATTGTTGAGTAGAAAGCATCGATTTGATCTCTCATTGTTGGATTCCAAAGATAACTTTCTGAAGTTTGAATATCCTATTCTAAACCTGATTACAGCACTTCTGAGAATCTCCTCAATTGCTATTTGGAAGATGGGGAGTTTCTCAGTCGTGATGTTATTCAGCTTTCCTCCTGATCCAACATGTTACTAAACAAAGGAAACTGGATAAGCTATAGTGATTTCCAGATAAAATTGCTGAAAATTACAATTACGATTGATTCCCAATATTGTCTGAGCGAGGTGAAATTTCAGACCTGCAATGCTTTTGTGTGATTGAGTTCAATATAGTCAGAATGCTTTAAAATATATCTATTGAATTAAAACCTACAAGCTGAATATCCATGTAAATATATAAAATACCCAGGATTCCCTTGTCTTAAATAAAATTAAAATGTTTTCATATATTTCTGATGTACATTAATGATTTCTCCTGAATATGAGCTAACACTTAAATTGCAACACATTTTAATTGTTAATTCATTGTTAAAGGAAAATTTTCTAAGCTATATCACATACACGACTCAGCTAAGGATTCAAGTAATGGTCGGTTGATTATTTTATGACAACTTAGAAGCAATAAATATTTTCCTATTTTAATTTAAAATCATACAGTGAATCAAGGTGTATATTGTTTTCTGAACCAGGCCAAGATAAGAACAATGGTAAAGCAACATTGCAACATATGCAATGCATCTTTTATTGTAATAGCTTTAAACACATAACACAAAGATCTGAAAAATCTTACTGGCTAATATAAGCTGAAGGAATTGAATATTTGAATTGAAACAAATAAGTTCCCAATTCTCAGCAACAATACTAATCCCATCAATCCACATCTGGACACAAATACCAAATACCCGTCTATTGGTCCCAAGTCTGCTTTGTGCCTTCTCTTAATTTCATACCTACTTCTGCTCTTCTCCGTACTACATCCAAATTTTGTATTCTATTAGTTTCACAGTCTGATATCATCAATATTTCCCATAGAAATGTTGCCATATATTCATGGTCTAAAAGAACATCTGTGTGTTTGCATCCTCCAGATGTATTTGGATTTCAACTGCTGGCAGTCCTGAAGAGGAGGCCTAACTGAGAAAATGAAAGAGATGGGTTACAATATTGTTTTATTTTCGGCTCTTGTACTTTCACATTATAGCAAGGAAGTGTATTATTCAACTATAGAACTGAAAAATTAAATTGTTGTTAGAATTCTAGAGAATTTCAATTATTGGATAAAGAAACAATAATAATAATATTTTATGGTGACATCTGGAGCTCTATTTAATCCAATTGGCATTGAGAAAATGACCACTTGTCAATTGCAAAAGGCAGCTTTACTTGGAACAGCTTCCAACCTGTGATAATAGCCATCAAACAACATCAGCCTATCCAGGTCCTTGGGAAGGACTCAATAGATGACAAAATGCCAAATCCAGTCTAAACAACTGTTTGACTGTGCAAGAAACAACAACAACAACAACAATAATAATAATAATAATAATAATAATAATAATAATAATAATAATAATAATAATAATAATATAAAAATTATAAAAAATATAAAATTATAAAAAATATAAAATTATAAAAAATATAAAAAATATAAAAATATAAAAAATATAAAAAATATAAAAAATATAAAAAATATAAAAAATATAAAAAATATAAAAAATATAAAAAATATAAAAAATATAAAAAATATAAAAAATA